ACCGCCCGAACCCAATGACATTTACCCTTTGGAACAAGTTTGCGTCCGCGATGACGCATTTTTTTGCGATCCACTTACACGCACACACGCACGCAGAGCCGACCAATCGCGTGGCTGCGTGCCAATCGATTGCCGCACACCGGAATCGCCCCAACTGCTTCTTCCGCCTTTTCTCCTTCCCAAAGGGGTGCGTGTGTGCGCGTTTTTACTGCCTTTGCACACACACACACACACGTGCGCAGCTGACTGTTCCACGCCAAACACGCATCCACCACTACCACAACCTCTTGCCCGATTTGCAGATAATGGATTACCGTGGCGGCGGCGGCGGTGGTGTCGGTGGCTACCCCCCACCCAGCATCTCCGCGATCACCAGTCCCACCGGCATGCGAGGTGTCTACGGCAGCGTCGGTGGAAGTTACTCAAGATCCTCCGGACAGCCGAGCCCTTCGTCCGTAATCGAGGAGCTCCAAGGTCGCTTCAGCGCCGCGTCAAGGTCCCGCGAGAAGCGACCGACCCTGCGGCCGAACCCCACCACCGCTGACCTCGTGGTGCCGGCGTACCACCGCAAGACGGCCACGTCAATGACCACCACGGCGACTCTAGTCTCGAAGCCGCACCATCAGTCGGACCTGACGCTTCCCACAACCCCCGTTGCCACGCTTCAATCGATTAACGCCACCTCCACGGCGCGAATTCCATCGGATGCCTCTAGCAATGCCACCCTCCTTCGAAATGCCGGCAACGGAGCTTACCGTGGAGGTAACCAACCACCGCTTTTCCTGAAGGTCAAAGTTAATCAATGCTAGCGAATTACTGAGTCATTTTTATTCTATGAAACTAGTTGAAATGAGAGGAGGAAGATATTTTGGAGAGTCCACAAGCACATATCCAGGATGACAGAAATTGTCCACATATAATTGGGATTTTATGCATTAAATTCAAATCATTTTTTTTGGAATCCAGCGAGCTAATTTGAGCGAATGCACCGCTTAATGGCCTCTTCTTATTGGTGCTTCCCAGATTGGTCGATGATTCAGTTAAATGCGCCATTAATTGGCAGAATAATAGCGACGGTGTCATTTTCTGCTGCTATGAAAAGTCTTTAGTAATGGCCTTTGACCTAGGCAGGGTCGATTAAAATGATTTAGGGAGTGAAACAAGCTTCAAATAACGCACTGGGGTGATCTGAACTGTTAAAAACACCTCTGAGTCTCCATCTAAACTTTTTAGAATTTCAAGGTAACTGGAAATGACGTCTTTCACAAGAAATTACGCTGATAGTTAACCAAAGTGTGTAGCGTAGCTGAACTGCGAATAACGCGGAGTGTTAGGTGGTCTTTCCTGTATTTAGGGACATTCGCATGCAGTAAAGATGTTATCATTAGATGCCCTTTGGCCTTCTACTTGGAAGAAAATGTCAAGAGATGTTAGGGCGTTCCCAGTGAGTCACCCTCGTGTTAAAGGTACTGTCCTGGTCAAAAATTAAGGGTAGCGGTTTTCCAAAAACACTTCCTACCTGATTATCTACCAATAAAAATTTTGTCGGCATTTCATTGGCTGAAAATTCCGCGATATCTCCATTTATTGATTTACATTTTTGGCGAAAAATGTTTTTTTTTCTGTTGCAATCACACAACCATTCTGTCTCAATTTTTTCAATAATCTGGACAATTTTTTAAATATTGTCTAAGATTACAGTGGAAGGATAACGTAGAAATTTTGGAGATAAATTGTCATTGTACATAGCCAAAAGGTTTTCCTTTTGCTAGAAATGAAGCCTCACTCATGACATTGCACTTTTATGGAAGATTCAGAAGAAATCTAAATTCGTAACCAGAATTCAAAATGTTAGTAATCAGTCAATCTGAATTGTCCAATCAGAAGACGGCCTTCCAGTCATCCAATCAGACGAGAGTATTTGAGTTGATCAGATTAGAGAATAACGCCGATTGGCCAATAAGCACATGCCAGTTTGATTTCTTTTCGTGTGCGTAGGTCCCAGTTTCCGCCGACTGCAGACCCTTTACGGCACGAACATCAGCCAGAAGCGCTATCCATCGGACAACGCCTTGGACATGACCTACCTCGAGGACAACTTTCAGGTATGGGGTACTACTGACAATAAAATAAGTAGACATTTGTACCTCCCTTGCTTGAAACTGAACACATATTTAAGCAAGCACGATTGTTGAACGCGTCTGCGTACACACTAGACCACAAATGCTGGTTAACTGCCAATCGTTGCTGGAATTGTGAAAGGGCAGCCAATCAGAGTATAGATCTTGGAAAACCACAACTGGGGCACATTTGATCTCCGCAATCCCTAGCTTGGTTCAGTTACTCCAGACTACATATGACGCTACTAATAATTTAAATTCAGTAGAGACGGTTAAATGTTTAAATTACCAAAAGTAGTGCGGTTTACATCTGGTTCGTTAAAGTTGATGGGCAGTTTTAGGAAAAATTGAGACGTGCCACGACGAGCCAGTCTGCTATTGGCTGTTTTGTTCGTCAAGGTCATCTCTTCAACTCTGATGATCGGTTTGAATGTGTTGAACGCTCCTTGAACATGGTGGATGAATTTTACACCGACCTTCAGCCGTCGCCACACGTCTCTGGCGTGCGGGCGTGTGCCCACACAAGACTAGTCACGTTACCAATGAGTAAATTTAGAAGACTGTGCATTCGTGCTAACCGATGCGTCCTAAAGACACGGGTGTGAAAAAATCAACAGTAACAAACGGGCACTTTCATGAAAAAGCACCCAGCCAATGCGATACGTCGTGGGATGCGTCCAATAGGATTGGCTGTTCTACTTCTCGCCATACATCGTTCGTGGATTCGTTCATTTCCGCTATCTAAACTTCGACGAAATGCCCAGGAGAGGCCGTCAAACTCGTGTAATTCTTTCTCCTTTTCTTTCCCTCATAAAAAAAAAGATTTTTTTGTCAATTTTACATACCTACTAGGCTTCACGGGTGACCGATCGATATTTGCGCCAATCGGCGCGGCTCTCCAATCTAACTCCCGATCAGCCAACCCGGGAAGAGCGCGCCTTTTGAAAATCAGCTGGTCATTACATGATTGGCTAGTTTTCCATTTCTTGCGTTGGATTATATAAAGTCTTCTAATTTTAGCCTCAGAATCCTTCGATGCCACAGTTCTACATCTCAGATCGCAAAGCCGGAACCGTGAAGATCCAAGTGCGAAGTCGCAGTGAACAGGGCAGCCCAAACAACGGCGTAACAGTCCACAGTCCACAACAAGGCCTCAAATTCGACGATCGTATTCGCTCGGAGCAGGTCATTCAGCCGAAGGCGCTCGCGTCTGCACCTCGCACAATCTACTCTCCGCCTAGAAACCACACCACCTCGTCGTCTGTGGATGGTCCGCAGGTACATCTGTCGGTGGAGTTTAAGTAGTATACATATAATCACCACGACAAAACACGCGCTCTCAAAATCTGGCATTTTAGGCGGAGGACGAGGAGAACCAGGTGCTGCCGTCGGTTCGTGAGATAATCCGACAGGTTGAAGAAATGACCCTGAAAAATAGCACAGCCAATAGCAGCACGAGCTCGCTGTCCAAGCACCAGGCCATTGGCTCATCGCAGCACATCTCAAGGTCACTTGTGCGACCGGTGAATGCCGAGCCCCAGGGCAGCCCTAATCGATCCCAGTCTGCTTCGGCCTTCAGACCAGCGAATCCGGACGGCGTGAACATCCAGGCTAATTCCTACGGAGATGCCTTCAAAGGGGTACGCTAATTGTGCCCCAGTTAAACAAAAAATAGTCGTGCGTTACAAACTAAATCATTTACTGCCCATTTTATAATACTTCAGTTTTCTACAACACGGAGATTCGACCACGAATCGGAAGGGCGAAGCACTGGAAGCCAAGTAAGTCTACTCTTGATGTTAAAAAAATCATCCTGCTGAATTACAGTGCTAAGTAGTGTGGGCAGGAAGATCTATGCATCTTCCTGTCAATACTTTTCTCGCACCTAAGCCCAAGGCAACCAAGTAGCCGAGATTTTATTGGTCTAACTAGACTTCCGGATCAATGGTTGCATAGAACACAATCTGAAAATGTCTGGATTGAACGAGAATACTTTATTGATTTACGATACTTGGTCCACACTGGTTCACATTGGCTAACAGCAGTGACCTTGAGAATTGGGCTGCGCTGATTGGTTGCCTCTTGGTAACTTTTCATAATGCAATTTACTCAGAGATAGCTGGCCTTACTCAATCATAAGTACAATTGTAGACGTGCACAACAATTTTTTTTCTTCAATCTGCTTTTGTCTTTGCGTTCAAAGGCACCGCACGTCAGCAGAAGAACAGACCAACTCACGAACTTGCCTCAAGACTACCAAAAGGTAGGCGGTGAATTAGCCATTCTACCAATCAACACTAGTCAATTAAATGCTGCTTGTATTCTTATTGGTTCTGCCGATTTCGGCGCACCATTTAACTGGAGTATGCTGTGATTGGCTTAGCAAGTCCATTGATTCAGTAAATAAATTCGGTTGGTTTAAAAGCCTTAATAAGAGAAAACCGATCTTTCGAGCTCACGAGATGGGTTCATAAAGCAATATCTCCTATTGGTCATCTCAAGGTCGTTGCACATAATTTAAAGATGTTTGTACATTTCAGTTGCTGGAGGCGTTTCTAGAGCAGCGGAAAGAAATCCAGCGGTTACGGAAGGAGATGGTGGAGAAGGATCGTCTGATAGCCGCCCTACAGAAGGACATCCACATGTACGAGCCTTGGCGCTAATTCGACCTAGTTGCTCACTCGAACCCACCGCAACCACCACCACCCCCCCCAACTCACCACCAATCATCTCTTCTCTCTCTCCCTGAGTGACCCAGAGAGGGGAAGACCTCGAATGTATCTTGTTTCTAACCCACTGTAATTCAGAGCCCTGTCAAACCTCGTCTCCTAGGTC